CACGGAATAATTCTCGCTCCGGTATTCTCCGTAATCCCCGGCGGAAGACACGAATTTCGGTACACCCGGTTGAAACAGTGGCAAGGTTTCCAATTAGGATGGAGGCTCCTATACTCTTGAATAATGCCACCCGAGGTCTCCTTCTCTCTTTCGGCCGCGCGCGAACTCGACTTTCCGTATGGTATCTTCGTCTTTCTCTTGTATAAATTAGTCCCAACCACCACATAATGGCGTGTCGATGCGCTACCGTCCCCCGAGCAGTATGCCCCCTTTCTAGTTCGCCCTTTTAGTTTTTTAATCTTTCGTCTATCTTACTCTTCTCTTTCCCATTCATTTTTTTTTCACCACCTATTTGTATCCTTTTTCGACTTTCCTCTCGTCTCTCTCTCTCTCCTACTAACTGTGTGTATTTAGCCGTCCCTCTCGGAGCTTCAGTCGGCACACCGTTCCGTTTTCTTCATCGAGACCGCTCTCGTCCGCTCGTCAGACCGGGCCGCTTAATTTACGACCAATTAATTTGGATAAACTGAATGAGTGGAGACCTGCTTTCGACCTGCACGCGTTAACCGTATGAATATATACTTCTCCCCTCCGCGCCTGTCCCTTTCGGTCCATCTCATTCAACACGTATGTTTTCGTTTTGCTACTCATACCCTTCCGACGGGCGTATTTGACTTCATAGCGTAGTTATTAAAATACATCGAGAACGTTGCTCTCTAAATACGGGAATAGAGAAGTGGAGACGCGTACATTTTTTATGCAGCCAGAAACATACATGTAAAATAAAATATAAATACACATAGATTGAAAATAGAAAGATTTCTTTTACCATCTCCTGTTTATAATGTTTAAATTCGTGTATTCGCGCATATTGATGCCCTATTATAATATACAATACGATGTACGAGAGTATGTGAATAGAATATATACAATTACCTTTAAAAGGCCGAAAATCATTGTAAAATCGGGTGTCCACGAAAATCTGAAAACATGAAAAATTCAACTCTGTTCTACGTTGAATGGCATTCTGACTTTCCGAGGCCGACGCTCCGGGGATTGAAAAAGAGAGGAGAAGAAGTTATTGATATCCGTTGTTCCACGTAATGAAGACGCAAACGTTATTCCTCTCCTGCGCGACTTATACGCTTTACGAATCACATTGTTAGCGGCGCGGCCGTTCCCGACGAGCCTTATGCCCGTATCACACTAGCGATTCGACAGGGTCGGTTTAAGGGGGGGGGGGGGGCTAAGGGAGCTACAGCCCCGGACCCCGTCTTTTTAAGGGGCCCCTTAGCTTAAAATTGTATTTATTGATGAAAGTAAATAATCAAATACAAATAAATAATTAAAAATGTTACAATTAATTTTGCATTCCTCATGCAATGAAACATAGACATTATTCAATAAAAGAAAGTACAATGAGGAATATAAATTAGCTTGTCCAGATGTAGAAATTAATGATTTAATCAATGAATTTGGGTGCACTCTAAATCAAGAAAAGAAAATGTCGTAAGTGCTACAACTTCAATAAAATGTGAATTATCTTCATGTGTTTATTCTTCAGCATCCAAAACTTACTTGTATCTTTTAAGCAGAATTAAAACGACTCAAACTGCGAAAGTCATACGAACAACCACGTTTCTTAAATAGAACTTGCAAAATATATATATGTATTTTGCACTTAATTTATTGTTATTCAATATCTATTATTCAATAAATAATTTCTATGGTATTTGAAAATAGGTATTTCATGTCTATACTAGTAATATTATAAAACAATTCTCATGAATGAAGGGGGCCCCGTTTTAACCCCCTGGGCCACGAATGCCTTAAGCCGTCTCTGGATTGGACATTGCGTCTGCGTTCGCGATTGCATCTTTTGACCAATCGGACGAGACCTGCTGGCCAGCAGCCTCTCTTTGATCGGTTAAGAGACGCGAACGCAGACGCAATCTTTAATTGCTAGTGTGATACGGGCATTAACGAGCGGACTACCCGGCGAAGTGCGTGGCCAGCGTGGCGTCCGGTGTCGTCGATGGACCTGCTTGGTATTCCACTCCGGTTCGAGAGCATAATTGGACGCCAACTGGCGACGCTCCTCCGCGTATCGCGGAGACAAGAAATTATTCTTTAATTAATTGTCAGCGCTCAATGTGGCCGTATGCGTATAGGATCAGGCCGGGCTCGGTACATAAATTTTATCTATATGGGAGCGCCGACTGAGGCCGTGCCGAGAAGCCGAGAGGCTTTCGAGAGAACGTAAGCGAGCACAGGGAAGAAGGAGAAAACGAGGGATCTCCGAACAGCTTCCGACCTACACGGGTGGCGAATATCTGGCGCCTGTTTGTAAAGCCTTTAACGGCGAGCCGGAATCGCTCTCTTAAAGGATCTCTGCGCTTCGCCACCTGTCCCACGATTGGTTTCCTGAGCCGTTGCCTGTTCGATTCCTGATTTGACGGAAGAATCCGGTCCGTTCTCGATTGATCGACAATTAAATCCGCTAATCAAGGATTTGCAGATTGAAAGATCTACACGGAAATCTAATAGGGAAGGTCGGACTTTCTAATTTTCTCCGTTTGCATTTTGTTAAGAAATTATCGTCACTATCTCATCATTATACACTGAAAAAAATACTAAATTGTAATAAATACTCGGAACAGTTCTGAGGAAATATTTACTAAAAATGTAAACAAATATTCGTTCGATATAAAAAACCATTAATTTGATTGAACTATCGCTTGTTATCGAGCGAGTATCTATTCAGCACTATTAAGCCCATGGCACATAGAAAAACGCAAGACCGTAAGCGTATAATCAATAAGCGAATTGACCAATCACAGTTGAGAACGGCGGCCGTAAACATTTTTCTACGTGCCATGGGCTTTATATTTAAAGAAATATACTGTATAAAGATTTACGTTTATGTGTATATACAAAACATTACCGAATAGACACTCGACTTGAAGTCAAGCTTGTATAAGAGGAAATCAGTGCAAATCGGTTATCTCCCGGAATATCCATAAATATCCTCGTCGCGAACGATTGCGTAAAATACGAAGATGACATGGCGATTTTACGGAGGGGGGGGGGAAGAAGGAACGCCGGGCGCCGCGGGCGCCTTATGGCCACAACATACCGTAAAGCGAGGACAGGTGCGCACACAGCGAAGACACAGAGCGCACAAATATGATAACGGCAAACTAACGAGCCTACCTCGCCGCGCCGGTACGGTGTGTGTTGGTCGCCGTCTCCGCTGTATATATATTTTATAATTAGCGGCGGGCTCCCTTTCTCTCTCTCTCTCTCTCTCTCTCTCTCTCTCTCTCTCTCTCTTCGATAAATCAGAGCGCCGCCCAGGCTTAAGACTTAATTAAAAATTTAGTCGAAAACCAATTAGCAGCCGCAGCGGATTAACATATTTCTAATTATCTGGCGGACACTTTCGGCCGCCTTATCCCGACTACTTTTGCCGTATATGAAGCCGACCTGTCGATGACTGTGCGATATACGTATATATATACGTTCGATCGCGTCGCGGCAAATCACCCGGCGCGTATTCTTTTTCTTCCCCCATACCTTGCCTCGATAATACGACGCCTTATTTGAAAAAGTTACGCTCGATCGATTGCATCAATTGCATTATTATTTGCGAATTAGTCAATCGCGGAAAACTGTTCGAGAGTCGATAACGTCCTTTTGCTTTCCAGGGAGAATCCTTAAAAAATCAATTTCTATTCTACAATTTGTCTTGTTTATCCATCCGTGCATAGAATTTGTAAACGTTTCATCGAGGGTTGGAAGAATCGATGGAAAGAATGTAAATACTGAAATCTTTTATTTCGCTATAATATATATACTTCCATGGATAAATTATCATCTTACATTTATACAAGGCGCATAGGTACGTCTAGAACCACGCCACATACGTAACGTTAGCTTTTACTGTCTATATGAGCGACTCCGTGTCTCCCTCGATTCACAATTCGACGCAAGCGGATACATAATTTACACGCGCTTGTCTTGTCTTCTCGCATATAGAAAGAAATCGATAAGTCTGAAAGATATCGCGATTAGGCGAGCTAGGAACAATACATATATTTGCCGATGAAGAATCAATATGGTCTGTTCTTTGTTGATAAGACATATAAGATTTATAAGCTATTCAGAGACGCCACCGCAGAACTTTTGAAAGTATCGCGTGTTAGGTTTTGAAAAAAAATTCTAATGTAAGTATATAAACGAATAGATGAATTCTCTTCAATGTGAGGAATTAAATACTTTCAGAGAAACGACTATTATACATTATGGTTTCGAACCCTTTATCCTCTATTGATGCGCTCTCAGACTCGGAATTATTTCAACGTATACCTCTCCGCACATTTCACGTCGCTGCATACTCTCGATCAGTCCACGTTAAAAACGCATATCTGTGAACGAACGTTCGCTATAGATCGCCCAGCGCGGTTCTGAAATCGTTAAAAACGAACTCCCGTTCCTCACGCGATTCCTCTTCTTCACCGGTAATCGGAAGTGTCCTGTACACGTGTGTATATACATACGTACACCCATAGTTACCGTATACGAACGCATAACCTATTTACACTATGTACACTCGTGCCTTCTCTTGAGATCAAAGTTTCGCACACCTCACGAGGCGCCAAAAAATATATATATATATATACGTGCTCCATATCGTCTCGAAACATTTACGCGACGATAGTTCGGACTCAACGATATCGAAATCCAGATCATTTGTGTCCCACTGCAGGAGACAAGCGGTTTCGACTTCCAACGTTAAACGGTGGATCCCAGTATTCTATCGATGTCGATAGAAGATCGGGCAATTAAACTCGAACGGAACATGGACTGACTGATGAACAAAAGCGGCTGAAAACCTCGGACAATTTTCCCATTTCACGCGTACAGAAAAAAAGATTTCACTGCGAAAATCCGTTGTTTAGATCTATTACTATTTTATTAGACTTCTTTTTGGCTTTACCGAACTCTAGCTCTTATAGATCTCCCAGCTCTTAGGTTTCTCGACTTCGTAAATGACGGTTCTCGAAATTATATATATCGTGTCGGGTATCGTCTGGAATTGAATTCCCGGAGTTTAGAGTCTCCCTCGCGCGGATTCTTACATAAATTGTACACGTTTTCGTATCCATGAATTCATGACAATTCACAGATTCTCCGTCGCCGGATCCCCAGGTTGTGAGCAGGTTGGGTCTTCGGACGACGACGACGTCACGAATGACTTCGAATTACGCGCGTATTACGTCTTGGGATATCATTATTAAGGTCGGTGCCCAGGCGGCCCCATGAACATGGCCGCCGCTGCTGCGGCATGGGTGTGCCTAGCCATGGCAGCTGCAATGAAGGGAGGCACTCCTGGGGTACCAGGCGGGCCCACCCCGGAGAACATCAGTCCCGATCCGAAGCTGGGGTGCAGCAGAGGCCTCGCGGATAGTCTCAGCTTCTCTATTTCCGCCTCCTGCAGCCGCTTCGCCTTGGCTCTTCGGTTTTGAAACCAGATCTTCACCTGAAACGTTACAGTATCCTCGATTTAGAGTAATAACGAGTGAACTGATATTGTTTATGGTAAAGTCCGTTCATGTATCGCTTCTTCATTAATTCTTCATGTTTCTGTGTTGGGTGATAACTTGAGATTTAATAATACAAGCTTTAAACATTTTTGTAACATCAGTGGTAATACGAAGCCTCTTCAGAAGCAATGTTTTAAAATAAAATACAAATTAAATCGAACGAGTTAAGGTTTTTGTTACACGCTATAATAATTGATATTCGATAATGTTATTCGACACGTTATGATAGTAAAATTACGTATATACCCTGTAAAAAATAAAATGTTAATTTTAACTCAAAGACGTTGAGTGGATTTTCTGAGACATGCAAGAATGTTAAAATTAACATTTTTGTGATTTTCAATGGGATAACATAAAAATTTTAGACAAAGAGCCTTGTTATAGAAAACGCTTAATATCTGAAATGCTGAATATTAAAAAACAGAAAAATAGTATTAATTTACAAACAGATACTGAAGGTCTTCATAAAGCGTATGTAAATAAATTTGTTGTAAAAATAAAGTTTGACTTTCTAATATCGATAATTATTAGTCTTGTTCAGTCTACATCGTTTCTTCAACGTTATAAATCGTTTTTACACAATGTCCATAATGTTGCGAAGAATTCTTTTCAATTGTTTCGTTTTTATTGCATTTGATTGACGTATATTATCGTAACTATGCCTACACACCTAAATAACATTATTGCTGATTTAATTTGTTTGATTTTCTTGGTGAGTTTTCTTTTTGAAAAATTTTGGCATAATTTGTTTAATATTTATAAAGAAAGTTTTGTACCATCGTTTTCAGAAATATTGTTATGCATACGACTTTTCAATCGCGTGTAACTTTAATGTCGGTTTGTTCAATGAGGACTCACAGGATCAAAATGGAAACTGCATGAACGATTTTTTAGCGATTGATTTTGTCCGCCGAATTTTCATATCTGAATATATATTTTTTTATATTTTAATGCCTATTTCTATTTTAATTGTATTATCATGGTTGTTTGTAGACGATTTATTTTAATTGTATCATGGTTGTTTGTAGACGATTTAATATTGAGTAGTGTTTGAATTAATTTTATTGAAAATGACTGATTATATATTTTATTGTTAAACGAAAATTCTTACTGACTCTTTAATCGCCCTTGCCATCATTTTGTTTATTTTAACATTTTTGCATGTCTCAGAAAATTTACTCAACGTCTTTGAGTTAAAATTAATATTTTATTTTTTACAGTGCATGTAATAGCAATTACATATATATGTAATATAATATATATGTAATAATCACTGGCTGATAAGTACAGCCAGTGATTTGAGAACGAATCTGTTTACCACGAATCGTTAAAAATACTGGTTCGTAAGGTACCGAATAACGTGAGAAATCATAAATTCTAATGTCGTGTTGCATTTTATATCATATGCGACACACCTGCAAACATTACATAAGTGTCATTATTGGTTGGTTGGATGTCGCGTTTAATACCAGCGGCTGTAGAAATTTACAATCGGCAAATAGCATATTCAAACCGCGCGGAGTTACTGCAAACGCCTGAGAATCCATGATTATTAAAATTACGCGGTAATATTTTATTATTTAACGCGTTACCATCGAGAACGCCTGGTCTGAAACAAATAAAGATTTTCCGCGTAAAACACACACGAGAGCCATTTAGCGCGTCGTTAGACAAAACAGTCGGCGGAACATCGAAACTACCAACAGGAAATTATCGACGTATCGAGAAATCCACGATGTCACAAGACAGCGACACGCCTAACACTCGGGTTTATACATGCAGATGTGTCGGGTCAACATTAAATCGCGTTTAATTGTTATTTGCACACGCAGTCGTTTGCGCAGCTGTCGCTTTGAATCGACGGCTAATTCGCAGCACTTTCAGCACGAATATGAGAAGCACAAGGACTTCGAAATTCTTCTACATCGATGAAGTTTCTAATTTAATGAACACTTATTTTTGGCAATATACACGAATAGAATAATTACGGTGCACTTAGACGTTAAAAAACGTTAAAAAATAGAACATCTTCTAAACTGTGTTCAATTAGTTTAGAAAACGTTTCGATTTTAACGGACAATTTTTAATTACTCGTGGAAGCTCGTGCGCTTAATTAAACTTACGTAACTAAAGTTTATTTGGTATAACGCTACACGGAAAGAACGATTTTTACTGAGGTATCTGAAAATTTATTAAATGTTCAGCTTTTTGAAAATAATTTTGTCGAACTATTAAACTCCTTCACTCCACCAAGTGTTGGCTTTACTTCTGTTGGACTTCAACTTCACCATCTCTAAGATATTTTTGTATTGTCGCTGATGATGGTCCAGATTAAAGGACCGAAACGTTCGACTTTGAATTGAATCTAAATGTGAGATTTTTTTGTAATTTCCGCGCTCGGTTAACAGCGTATGACTCTGTATAGCCTTTTATACTCGTTTCAATTTTGATGTTTTTTTGAACTATTAAAATTATTATGTAAGAAACTGAAGTCCGATGAGCAGTAATGCTGCAAAAAGTTTTGATATTCTAGCAATTACAGCTTGATTGTCTCACTCACTCGGTTATAGTATGTATTTTGATAGTATAATAAAATTATTTTTAGATTTGCATTTAGCTAAATTTTTTAATACCTCAATAAAACTGTTCTTCCTGACTATTCTAAAGTTAAAAATGGAATGTAGTATCAAAATCGTTAATATATCCTGTGTAAGAATTATTTCTTAAAATTTACCTCGAAAATATGGCAACCGTGGGATAACAGCGTTATGTCTCGAAGAATTTTTACATAAATCTCTCACATTCATTAATAAAAACTACAATAAAATACAAAATAAGTTTGATTAATTTTACTGAAGAGTGCAAAATCTTTAAAATATTGTATCGTGCCATAACTATACTATATATTTTCAGGAATAAATTTTAACTCTTTCCATGCGATGTACGAATTAAAATTGATTCCAAAATTAAGCATTCGATAAATACGAAAGGACCGTCAGCCGCCTTTGCTTTCTCCTCGTCGTCGTAAAAGAATCGAGTGATAAGTTACTACGTGTGATGATAGGATGAATATCACCACGACGCGAGTGTCACGATTTGAATTGTATACATATCTCTTTGTCCGCGGTGAATAATGAGAGAGAAAAGAGCGCGATCGAGGGAACGGTTTGGCGACTTAAACGACACGAGGAGATGGCGGGGTAATCGTAGCTTATCCAAGCAAATGAATGTGCGACGTAGCTTCATTTCGACTGATGCATTGTAACGAATGCGCAAAGTGTATCTTAGCACGCCAACCGGCGCGATAATAGCCTACTCTGTTACATACACGGCAAAGAATCACGATAGTCCGAATTGAGAAAAGAGCACGGATATATTCTAATAATAATATTCGTGAGAGATAAATTTGCGGTTAACACTATTAACTCGAGCGTGAAGATATTATAAAGATGTATAAATATTAACAATTAATTTAAAATTCAACAAGAGGACTCTTAATATAAACAATAATCCATAATAATAAAAGAGGACGAAGAAGAGTTAATTCAAAAATTAACTATAAATAAATAATAGGATTCAATCTAGGAGTCGAAACTTGTTAATTTTAATTTTAATTTGAAGCACTATTTCAGTTAGTTTTAAGTTAAATATTATTTGGTTGTAAATCGTTAATTTTAATATATGATTTGTAATCGTAATTTAGAATTAAATATGTCATTAGTTTTATTTTATTTTATTTTATTTTCAGTTAATTTAAATTGACACTTCTTTGCCCTTTTATTATTATCGATTACTGTATAAATATTAATTTGCGCGACACGAAAATACCATCTTTTACTTCAAAAGCACGCTAATGTGATTGGTGGTTTATTATCGTTCAATAAAATAAACAGATAATTTTGACGACTTTTATTAATGAGCTCGTTAATCGAAGAATAATTTAAAGCCAATATGTGTGCAAAATCTTTTTTACTCGCTTTATATTTTATTTATTAGATAATTAAAAGTACGATCCAATTTGTATTAATTTACGAAACTCATTTACGAGCAGCATTGTTCTTAACGTACGTCTTGAACATTTATGTTCCGCTGGAGATCGTTACATAAAATGGGAATTTTTCAATTTGCTAAAGAGAGCTAATTACTCGCGTGTCAACCGTTCGGCGTCTCACCTGCGTTTCCGTGAGGTGAAGAGACGACGAGAACTCCGCTCTTTCGGCTATCGTCAGGTACTGTTTTTCGCGAAACTTCTTTTCGAGCGACAACAGCTGCTGCGTCGTGAACGGCGTTCTCGGCTTCCGGTTCGGTTTGTGCTTCCTGAGAGTGCACCTAACCGGGCCCGGTCCAGGTCCCGGCAATCTTAAGTCCCCTGGAACCAAAGAGAAGACATACCGTTAATCTAATATAGGATTTGATACATGATAATTTTCCGGTCCTACACTACACGTGGCGGGTCGTTGTAGTCTCTCGGATTAATTTTCATCACTTTAATAAATATACAAAAAGAAATTATTATTATCCAGCGATTATTATATCGCGTATAGAGTACCTTATGTCTTTAGAAAGTATTTGTGGTGTGAATTTAAAGAAATTGCGTTTAAATGTATTTATTTGACGCTCCTAGTTTTTCGAAGAAAATAAATGTATGAGTATATCCAATCGTGTGTATTAAAAGTTAGTAACTAAATTAGCATTTCCAGTAAGTTCTTATTTACTTCAGGAAAATGCAATATGCGAAGTGGTTATTGTCGCAAAAAGTTTAGAAAGTTTAATTTTCAACGAAAAACACGATGTTTTTATTAGAAAGGCATTCAGTCGAACCTCGCCTCGTTCTCGTTTCTTGAAAAAGAGACGAGACCGAGGATTAAATTAACATTACTCCGCCGCACCACTTCTGCTATCAGCGTCATTAGGAGAGAGAGATACGTTAATAATGATATTCGCGGACATTTGTATCTGTACTATTAAAACGCCAGTCCCGTCTTCTTGCGCTCGTCGAATGATAATTAACCCCGGATGTGCAGCGTTAGTCGTTAATTTACAAGCACACCCGACGCGTTTTCATAGGTCTCGCGTATGACGAAGCGATTAAGGTACTCGCGCGGTACCGCGCGGTGGAAAGAGGGCGCGAATTATAATAAATCGTAGAAAAAAATCAATCGCCCTCGAACGCTCGACGAAAACGGCGCCTATAATTATCGACCCATCGCGCCCCACGAGCCTCCCCGCGTCCGGCGCGCACGATTATCATTGGCTAATATGCCGTTGTTTACGATCGTATACGCGCAATTAGTTGGTACTGCGCGAAGTTTCGCCCACACCTCCCCATATACGTAAGCGCGATCACGTCCGGAGTAGCATATTCCCGCACCTTTGTCATTCATTTGTAAAAATCCATTCCGAGCTGATCGCGCTTCGTTAAAATTCGCTTAAAAATTATCAGGATAAAAATACGACGTATCCCTCTGCACACGTAGGAGAAATATGCGTGGTGGGGGGGGGGGCTTATTATTTTTTTCTTTTCTTCATTTTAGACCGCGATAATTGATATCCCGCGCGTTAGAGACGCGGATTTTTTTTCTCAAGCGACGACACAAGGGACCAAATGAAGTATTGACGCGTTTCTTAAAAATCCCGCAGTTGGCTTACCGATATAACTCTTCTTAGCGCCCGCGCACCGTCCTATAATTAGACATATTATTTCCCTGTACAACACACGCCGCGCTATCTCGCGCCGCATTCGAAATAAGCGACTCGTATACGAGGAGAAGAGTAATTGATATCTCGCGGCCAGATGCGAAAAGTTACATCGCGCGACTTCTGTACGGCCGCACCATACATACACGTCGAAAAAGTGCGCTTCCGACATTCGGCACGACGGAACGATGACGATTCCGCGCGACGCGGCGAGGAGGGCATATCGCCGTGGATTCCGAGCGCTAATTAACGCTCGGCCAAGGCGTACAAAAAAGGGATATAGGCCGCGCCGGCATTGTCGACCGGATCGGTCGAGAGACGCACACACCGGTATCATACGTCTTCCATTCTCGTTGCACCGCCGCGGTCGCCCGTTTCGCGTGTCGCTCGGGGACACCTGGTGCAGGGGTTTACGCACGTAACCGATCGATATGTTCTCCTAGGAGGCTAATTAATTTCTGCTAATTAAATACCTATTGCGGACAAGTCAAAACTCGCGCGGATCTATCCGCTACCACTTTCTTACGCGTCGTGAACGGCGCGAACTTTTTATCGGACCATAATTACACGTCGTCGTCGTTCGGCGGTACATTTTAATTTTTTTCATCTTCGTTGGAAATTTCCTGCCTTGAGCATCACGAGCTAATGGATTAGTGTGGTTGACGCTCGAGTTACAATGTCATTTGCTTGCTTATTAGAGGAAAGACGGATCTGTATGTAAGATAGAGTTTAATGTATAAGTATAAACGCGAGACCGCGGTATACGCAAGAAAGATGCCATACGAATCCGCGCGTAGCCGGACAATCTGTCGTTACGTGTCGATGCCGCATCCATTCATGCGGTAATACAGCGATTTCATGTCGCTCATCGAAGTTGGCCATGCCGCGCACGTAACCGATCAATATGTTCTTCTTGACTGCTAATTAATTTCTGTTAATTACCCGACCGCTGGAACACGCACGCGTATGGTTACGCAGCCGCAACGGACGTAGTCGTTTCTGATAGGTACATAATCAGTTTGCCTTCCGTGTAAACTTTTCAGTTAGACGTAACGTGAAACGTTTAAAGGATTCATCCGGAGACTTCGCGTGCGTGGCTGAACCGTAAATTACTGTACATGGAAAAAAACTTTTTTGCTGAGAAGTACCTAAAAATTTAGCTTGATACAGACCTGAGAATAACTTTACGTATTATTTACGTATTATTTACGAACTATTTACGCAGAATTAAATATGTATAGGTATATACATAAATTTACATATTAATGGAAATATTTAAGCGCGATAAAATTCACTTTCACCGAATGAAGGGTTTCTCTTATTTAATTACATTTATATATATATATATTAGATTAGTCTTTAAAAAACTTTTTTTTTGTTCGCCCCCTAAATTGGTTCCATTTGATGAAAAAATAAGCTGTGCTAAACTGGAGGTCGGTAGATCCATGGGAAGGGATGCCTCTAGACCTATCAAATTCGATAGTTTTATTCGTTAAAAAAAACTTTTTTTAAATTTTATTCGCTTGATATTACAACAGAAGCTGTGAATCTTCATACCGAATATGGAATCTTTTTGGAGGTCTTTTTCGAGCGAATAAAATTTAAAAAAAGTTTTTTAGGGGGCGAACAAAAAAAAAATTTTTTTAAAGACCAGTCTAACATATATTTTTTGTTGGTCCAAATTCCTATCATAGTTGAAAATAATTTTCTTAGATTATCGTTCTATAGAATTTGAACGATCCGACAAAATTATTAGATCTGTATTTAATTAAATTCTCATACCCTAGCAAAACTGTTCTTTATACACGCGTTTTAAATTAAAATTAATATCCAATTATATTCAGACCGCGGCATAAAAAGTACGAAATTTATTCTGTAACAGCACAATAAGATCAATATAATAAAATGAGACTTTTAAAATTACCCGCGCACTCTTGCGAGTAATTTTACGAGAGATGCAACGTCTCACAGAAGGCAATTGCAATCCTTACACGCTGTGACCGCTTTCATCAACAGATACTGAATTTTCAGGGATGCTGAAGAGAGAGAGAGAGAGATAGACCGGCAGACGGGCGTCGCGTCGGGCCGCTGCGCTGGAACGGCCGAGCCGGGTAATTACGTCCATGGAATGATGAATCGTCCGAAATATTTTGTAGAACATCATTGGACGCGGGGCGGGCGTCGTTAATTCATTCCTGCGCGCGCAATCCAGATAAATGCGTACGGGCCAGCGGTGTTCGAGCGTTATAAATGACGTCCGTATTCATAATTTTCGTAAGCCGCCGCCCAACCGACGGGCCCTGGGGATTATCGGCTATATGTACGAGCCCCGTATCGCATCCCCCCCCCCCCCCCCCCCCCCCAGGGAATAACTGTCAGTGGTGAACGCTTAATGGAAATGGGCTAATAAGCTTTTCACTATCTAATTTTTCAGAAACTACTTTTGCGCGCGCAGAAGATATGATATTTCGGAGAGATGTTTCATTATCGACGTTTCGATTCGACTATATGTAGAAATTATTGAAGCATATCCTGATGAATGAACATTTTTGTTTTGTATTCACTTTTATTTTGTATATTATCCGCACTCATAGCTTGTAAGTCTGGAAGATGAAACGGATAGAACAAGACAAAATTCATTTTTTTTTTTACTTAAAAGACATCGAAGTATCGGTTATAATTAACGTTTGTTTATTGGAGTTTTCTTAATGTTTTTTGAAAATTCAAAATTTTGAATGTATATATGATTACACATTTTCTTTTACGTGAAAAATTTGAATGAACACAATTTGGAGTTACAAATTTTTGTATTCACCGGGCACACTAATCTTTTCCTTGTGCATAAGATTTGTTTTTATGTATTATTTTTTTATTGTATTTCTTGCCTCAAAATATGATATTGTTTTAATACTAGAGAGTGTCTGCCCGTAAAGGTTAAGTAGTCTTAGTGGACTTTTACAACCTAGTTTTTTATTTTCCGAGTAATTGCATACCTCACTTAACCTCATGTTAATTATAATAAATATAAAAATTGTGTTTTTTTTTTCTAGTTACGATTAATCATTACTGGTCTTATAATATGGTAACTTTGAAAGATGCTCACTACAAAATCTTCAGTTTAGTGATTAACCACTCAGGTAGAACACAGTCACAGTTAAGTCACAACGATATATCATAGGACGTCATCATGACAATTCTTACATTATCATCGTTTGTCACTTAAAGATGAACTTATATAAGTGATAAATAAGATCATGATGACTTCCTTATAATATTATTATGATTTCTGTCTTCCAATAGTTAGAAAAGTACAATTTTTATATTGCCGCGGGTGAAGTTTTATCACTTACCAGAAAATGAAACATCGAGCTCAATTAAAATACAAATCACTACAAATTGCTTAATTTAATTTAGAATAATATTTTCACAATTTATCTTATCTCTCGTAAAATACTGTTTTTATTGTATACGCGAATTTTTGTATATATACTGTATGCATAAAAGGTATAAATACACAATCTTGACGCGATCGATTAAACGATGAGTAAATGTCGATCTGCGTTCATTCGGAGCTTCTTACCTCGAAAATCCCGAGAGCTAAAATAAGAAGACGTGGGTAATTAACCGAATTTCTATAAGTGAACGATCATCACCGGGCAAAAGCGAGTATCG